ACTATGCCAATTATGTTGCCTGGATAAGAAATTCACTAAAGCGGTTATACTTTCGGACTCGTAGTAAGCAATAGACTCAATTAGAAACAGAGAGCCACTCAAAACAGCTGAGATAAACGAATTTAGAAAAGTCTGTTAGCTGCTGAGGGAGAAAAACAAAACAGTGGNGAGAATAGACCAAGACATCTGAAAACGCAATCTGGTCTAATACAGAAAGCCATAGAACTGAAGAAAGAATTACAAATCTATAACAAACCAAAAAGCCTCTCTCCCCATGAACCCATTAGCAGACACTGATGTAGTGTGTTGCACCCAACTGCTCGACTTCTTCAGCAAATGCTCTCACTGGCCCTTGAGACAATCAATGTCAGTTTACCTGGAGATCAGTGGCTTCAAGTCTTCACTGATGGGTCATACATAGAAAGCCAAGCAAACATTGGTGTAGGTGTCTATTCTGAACTCTTCTCTTTCTACGCAACAGCGGGACATAATATATCCGTTTTTGAAGGTGAAATAGAAGCCATTAGGATAGCACTATGCCAATTATGTTGCCTGGATAAGAAATTCACTAAAGCGGTTATACTTTCGGACTCGTAGTAAGCAATAGACTCAATTAGAAACAGAGAGCCACTCAAAACAGCTGAGATAAACGAATTTAGAAAAGTCTGTTAGCTGCTGAGGGAGAAAAACAAAACAGTGGTCCTACAATGGATTCTCGGTCACTGTGGCATTAAAGGCAATGAGATTGCTGACACACTTACTAAGAAGGGGACAGCGATTTTGCAATGCATGAACCGGCCGATGTCTTTCCTCACAATGAAGGCCTTAATCAGGAGAGAATTTCAGATTTCAAGATGCAACGAACTTAAAGCTCAAACATGAAGAAACAGTGGACAGTGTCACTCTCGACATAGCCGACTGGCCAAGAATCGAAGCCGTTGCTGAGTTTAGACTACGTACCGGACACGATTGCTTGGCAAAACACCTTCACAGATTGGGAGTATGCACTCAACTCACATGTTCTTTATGTAACCTACAGGAGGAAATGGAGAAGACCAACCTGATTCGGTGTCCAGCTCTAAAGACAAGGACGGAAAGCCAGAGATACTGGGATGCAAGGAGAAAGCTAATGAACTGCTATTAATTAACTGCTATAAATGTACCCCCCCCCCTCTTGGGGGAAGCTGAATTCAAAGTTTAAAGGCTAATGATAACTAACATAAAGCCTGCCATTTGAAATGATAATAAATTTATTCACCTTGAAGCATACGTATGAAAATAAAATTAAAAAATTTAAATTTTGTTTTTTATCAGCTGATGTAGTGGGGCGTCCTAAAAATATGGTGCTTGACCATACCCACGGTTTAAGCTCTCCAAGCAATTTGAAATCAAAGAATAAAAATGATTATCAATCTACAATGATGTCGCTATGTCCGGAAATGCAAAATAGTTTTAGATATATTTTTTATATATCTATTTTAAATTATATATATATATATATAACGGAACAAAAGGGCTTACTAAGATATATAGATTCAGGTAGTGGGAGAACCCATTATGTCTTGTTCGATTAGTTGCAGCCCAACCGATTTGGATGTCTGCTCAGTAAAATACTTATATCTCCAAAACTAATTTGAATTTTGAAAACTCCTTTCGTAGACATATTTCTGAATAGTTAAACTAGGAAAATATGAAAAAAATATTCGAAAATCTTTTTTTCTTGACCAGAATACTCCCTTTGAAGTTTGTACGCAAGAGTTGAAATAAACATTGAGAGAATAACCCACAGATCACTATTATTATTATTACATTTTCTGCATAAATACTATATTTCTCTTAACTTAAAATTCAACTTATCATTGTAGCAGTATGTTGATTTTTCTTACCCAACTTTTTTATATCAAATGGCAGGCGTCTTGATGGTTATCATTAGCCCTTTAGTTGACTTCAGGCTTCACAGAGGGAGAGGAACATCAAAGTGGGAAAATCGAGGGTGAGGAGGGGGGGGGGGGAGAAGAGTGTTTCACGGATGAAAAAGAGACGAACAAATTAAAAGGCAGAGAAAAGGTAAAATGAGTACTGTGGAAGTACGTCGAATACGACGTACAGTGGGGTGATGGTAGTTTGCAGTCAGAAATCAACTGTCGGTTAATAAGTATTTTTGCCGTATGGGTATACGTTACCCAGGGAGCCAATCGCGGAGGTAAGTCTATCGCACACCCCTCTTACCCAACGGTAATTCTATTTATCCGGTTAAAAAGAATCTCTAGTGTTTTCAACCTAAATGACATAGTTTACTCGATTGATATTTTACTATTTTACATTATGTCAATTTGTTTGTCTCTTAAATCTATAATTTTGAAAATTATCTACGATAATATCATTATGATTGACAGAACACTGCGAGCTACTCATGATCAGGATGGGGGATTAGGTTAAACAGAGGTTAATGATTGGTCACTGTTTTTGCGGTCGCTGCACACAGAGTTGTACAGCCACACCTCCCAATCATGGCGAGCAGACATGCAGGCAAACGA